GGGCGCCCGGGCCGGGGTGGGGGCGCTCCCAGGCCCGGGATCTCGGCTCACCGGACCGGTACCGCGCAGCCTCCAACTGCCGTTCCATACAGGCGGGCGCATTAGGGGGAAGGTTCCACTCGCGGGCCGCCGGGGGCACCAGGGACGGCGGGGTCTCCTTCCGCATCTCCACGGTTCCGGCCACAACCGGGACCCAACCCGAACGCCGGCCTGCGACTCAGCTCCGGCAGCAACCCACACGTGGGGCGCCTTCGGCACCCCGCCCCTCTCCGGAGCCTAAGGCAACTCCACTTCTCGCGAGAATTGCTCCAAGGGCTCCCTCCCGCTTTCCGGCCGCTGTCCTCCCGCCGCGGGTTCCTCTCACGCCGTGCCTCTTCTCGCGAGAACCAGAACAACAAAACTCGCCCGACGAACGTTTAAAGGAAAAAAAAAAGGGCCCGAAGATCTCTTCTCGCGAGACTTGCGAGCGGCCATCTTGCTCCTGCCCCTGACCGGTCCTCCGTTCGGGGTCACGGGGACGCTGAGCCCGCCGTCTAGACCTGTGGTGACCATGCTGTCCCGGGTGGCACTTGCCGCCACAGCGGGTAAGGGGTGCGGACTCTGGTCTGGGCCATCCGGGTGGCTGGAAAGCGGCGAGTCTAGGAAGCCGCTGGGGGGAGAAGGGGGTGAAGAAAGGCGCGGCGACCCTGGGGCCTGGAGCGATCGGCCCGGCTCGGAAGGGAGCGCGGGGTCCTGGGGGACGGGAAAGAGGGGTGCGTGGCCCTAGTGACCGGGCTGGCGGGGACGAGGAAGGGGCGACCGGGGCTCCTCCTCGTCTTCGCTGACCTGCGCCTTGTGCTGTCTGCAGCGCCCTCGCTGAAGAACGCCGCCCTCCTGGGTCCCGGGTAAGTGAGGAGCGCGGTGCTCGCCTCGTCCTTGTGCGGTCCCCTTGTGTCGTTTGTCGGTCGGTCTCCTCTTGGCTTTAGGCCAGACGCTTCCTTTCTTCGGGGAACCTGGAGACACCTCAAGCCTCCCTCGAACCCTTGTCCCTGTCACTGCCAGGAGCCTCCCCGCGTCGCCTAGTGGCCAGGACCTGAGGCGGAAACGGAATGTGTCTAGCTAAACGAGAAGCCGGCTTTGGTGTCTGCCGAGCTCTCGCCCTGTGACCCTTCCACACCCAGCTGCCGCGGCCCACGTCTGAGCTCGAGGACCCACACCCAAGAACAGTAGGCCGGCGCGGTGGCTCCTGTCGGGATCCCAGCCCTTGGGGAGGCGGAGGCCGGAGGATCGCTTGAGCCCAGGAGTTTAAAAGGCCAGCCAGGGCAACGTGGCAAGACCTTGTCTCTCTACAGAACAGTTTTAAAAACCTAGCCAGACGTAGTGGTTGGCGCCTGTAGTCCCAGCTATTTGGGAGGCTGAGGCCGGAGGATCGCTTGAGCCCGGGAGTTCGAGGCCCACGAGCAACAAAGCGAAACCGCATCTCTACCAAAAAGACAAACTAGCCGGACTTGGTGGCTTGCGCCTGTAGTTAGTCCCAGCTACTCAGGAGGCTGAGACGGGAGGAAATAAATCAGTAGAGCATATTGTTTCCAGTCTGTGTCCCAGATTCCTACTTTTCAGCTCCGTGTCATAAGAGCCAGAGAAGTCACTCATGGATTCGGTAAATATTAATCTTGCCAGCCACATAGCCAAGCATGCAAAAATGAGTAAAGCTAAGTGCCTGCTTCATGGAGCTCACAATATAGGAGGAGAGGCAGTTGTAGAGAGGGCTTCAGAGCGAGGGTTCCAGAGGTAGAACAGGATACACCTTGCCCTTCACTTACTCTGCTCCCTCATCTGCAAAACGGAGGTAATAATACATGGTGGGTTATGAGAATGAAGAGACTTAATTCTTGTGAACCCTAAAAACAGTGCTTGGTACATAGAATGCGCTTAGTAAGTGCTAGCAAGTGTTGCTGCTAAAATTATTTCACGAGACATGCTCATTTTCTTTGAGACGTCTCTGTTCACATTCAAGTTTAGTCCTAAAGCTTGCAAGATTTGATAACTAGCCTGTGGCTTGAAAAAGTGGTTTTAATGTATCTTAATTAAATCTCATATATGCACAGCATATTTGGACCTGGTTTAAAATGACAAGATCTTGGCCCTCAAAACCTGAGCCTGATGCCACAGTGGAATGAGAATGCCGGGAAAGAGAGGGAGTAGGAGTGACATAAATGTTGGTGGCCGTAGGGTAGAGTGATAGTAAAGATTGTCCTTATGAATTGAATTCTTCCCTCTTTATATCACATGCTTTCTGCTTTTGTCAGCAAGTGGAGTTTAATTTCCCTCCCCCTGAATCTGGGCTGACCTCATTACTTGCTTGACCAATACAGTGTAGTGAAGGTTATGTTATGGATATCTGAGGCCAGGTGATAAGAGGCCGTACAGGTCCTGTCTTGTTTTGTTTCAATTCTTGCTTATGAGACATACCCTCCTAGAAGCTCACTGCTGCTGAGAAAAACCACAGGGAGAGGCCACCTGTAGATACTAGTTGAACGACCCAGCTAGGCTCTTCATCAGGAACCAGCGTTTACTGCCATCTTGAGTAAGCAGCTCAGCTGGACCTTAGTCACTTTCTTGTTAGTCACTTTGTTGTATGAGACACCCCAAGTAAGGACCACCCAGCAGAACCCAGTCAATCCATAGAACCAGTAAATTGCTTTAAGCTACCAGACTTTTCAGTGGTTTATTATTCACAAATAGATAACCAGAACAGCAACCATTTTTTCACACTTCTCACACTTCTTTCCCTCCACATGGAATACCTTGTTTTGACACTTTTCTAGCATTCCAACAAGCAATTCTTTCATTTGGTATCTATTTAAAAATTCCAAATAAAATTCAGTGTCCCTTGAGTAACTTTACTTGGTTTTGACCCTTCCCTCTGTACTCAAGATTTAATTTGTGTTAAATAAATTTTGTGAAGGCAGTAAAGTGAGGCTATACTTGACTGTTTCCAACTTACACTCCATACAGATGTGTAAACAAATAATTGTAATACAGGTAACACATTAAACGACTGAATATATCAGGAGCATCTTTGATTTTCTTTCACACTCCATATTTAGTACATCATTAAACCTCTTCTAGATTTTATCTGGATTTCTTCCAGTACCACTGTTACTAAAGTGTGGACCACCATCAACTTCCACCAGGCTATTTCAGTAGTCTCTTAATTAGTCTTGTGTCTATGTTCTTGTCCTGTTACAGCCCATTTTCACAACAGCAGAGAATATATGTCAGTCCCCCTCTAAAGCTTTCCAGAGCTCCCCATCCTGCTTGAAATACAATCCAAATTTAGCGTAGTCCAGAAGGTCCAACATGAATTGATCCCATCCTGCCTCTTAATTCCATCTCCTGCTGTTCTCTTTTTAGCTTATTCTTCACTCGTACTGGCCTTGCTGTTTCTCTGAAAACAGCCAAGCTCGTGTTCTTGCCTCGGGATCTTTCTGCTGGTTGTTCTCACTTTTCCCCAGGTCATTGGCTCAAATGTCAAATGACCTCCTACCAAAAAACTCATTCCCCATTCTGTTGCTTCCTATCCCCTTGCCTTGTTCCATTTTCTTCATAGCACTTACAGCTGCCTGAAATTGTCTATGGGCATACCCGTGCTCCCACTGGAATGTTGAAGGCTGGGGCTTTGTTCACTGCTGTGTTCCCAGTGCCTGGCATAAGTAGAAAGTCAGTAAATGTTTTGTTGACTGAACGAATAGATGATAGCCCAGGACTGGGGAGGGCTTTATTATAAAAGATGTGCTTGAGATGTTCTGAAGCCTAATTGGACTTGGCAGTCATTGGTATGAAGTTATGGTATGAAGGGCATAACAGACAGAAGGAGCAGCATAAGGCACGTTTTTGTTTTTGAGAGCTGTTAAGTGTTTCCATATGGCTGGAGGGGAGGAGGATGAAGGAAGGTGAGGTTCTAAAGTTTGACAGATACTGACTGGATTATGTATATTATACTAAGTAACTTGTTTTCTGTGGTCAGAAGAGAACCTGTTGAAGAGTTTTCTAGTCAGATTTACTGCCTTATTATTATTATTACTATTATTGTTATTATTATTGGCACAGAGTTTTACTTTGTTGCCCAGACTAGAGTGCTGTGGCACAATCATGGCTCACTACAGCGTTGACCTCCTAGGCTTAGGGGATCAACCACAGGCACACACCACCATGCCTGGGTAATTTTTGGATTTATTGTAGAAACAAGGTCTCACCAAGTTGCCCAGACTGGTCTCGAACCCCTGGGCTCAGGCAGTCCTCTTGCCTCCACCTCCCAGTCTCTGCTGAGATTACAGTTGTGAGCCACCACACCCAGTCTTTTTTTTTTTTTTTAAACTTTATTGTAGAGCCCAGGTCTTGCTATGTTGTCCAGGCTGACCTGAAACTCCTGGACTCAAGCAGTCCTCCTGCTTCAGCTTCCCAAAGAGCTGGGACTACATGTGTAAGTCACCTTGCACAGCCTGCTTCTCCCTAGAATTGTATGCCTAACCATTCTTATAGTCAAGTTTGAGTAGAGAAAAGGAGACATTTTCAAACATAACAAAATCTTTTTTAAAAAAAGTGTATCTTCCATGAGGTTTTTCTCTGGAGACAAGATGTGAGTTCCACACACACAAAAAAGAGTAGTGAGGAAAAATACCAGGATAACTTTGAAAATCAGATCTGGAGGACAACTTACCAACTTGAGGCAGGTGACTGGAGGACTTGAGGAAAAGATGACATTAAGATCTCAACATCACTGAATGTGTTTAGACATATGGAGAGCAGACTAATGGTTCTGGCAAAGCTTAAAGATGGATTGGTAACATACATAGAAAACTAAGCAATTGAAAAAATATATAGGCAGTTATTAACCTAGGGAGGAAGGGAAAAGGGTAACACAAGAAAGGAAGCGTAACTAGAGTACACTGAAGGTTTCGACTAAGAATAGTACGACACAGTGAGAATAATCTACAGGTTAAATATTGACTTAGCCAAAAAGTATTATAAAATTATAGTGGGAAGAGAAAGAGGTGTGTGTGTGTGTGTGTGTGTGTGTGCGCGCGCGTGCACGTGCACACATGTGACCTTGTTTTTATGGGGGGGGTCATCTTTTGTTGTTACTGCCTAGAAAGTTGTAAATAATGTCTAATTACCTATTTTACCAAATTTGAAATGCTATCAATTAAAAGGGTCTCCATTGTTTCATGTGCATCTAAAAATAAAAGAATTTTTAAAATCAATGATTCTCAACCTGGGACAGTTTTGCTCTCCAGCGGCCATCTGGTAGTGTCTGGAAACATTTTTGGTTGTCACTACTTGGGTGCGGGGCAGGGGAGGCACAGGGAGAGGTACTGGCATCTAGGTATAAAAAGCACAAGTATACTGCTAAACATTCTACAGTACACGGAACAGCCTTCCTCAGCAAAGAATTATCTAATTCAAAATGTTGATAGTACTGAGGTTGAGAAGCCTTGGTTTAAATGGAGGAATCTTAAGCCTGATTCTTAGATTTTAAAACTTGGTGAGGCAGTGTAAACACCATTCAAAAGCTAAGCAGTGAACCAAAATCAATGGCATACAGTAATGGAAGTTCGTAACTTACACTACAAGGAGATAGAGGTGGAGGGAGTAGGGAGGTGGAGGTTGGAAGTGGTCAAGAGCATACTGAGAATGAAGGAGACTGGACTTGAGGGCAGCTATGAAAGGGACCGAAGATCTTGCTCCATCAGAAGCTTAATGAGACCTCAATATACTGTAACTGCTAAAAATGCAATCTTGGACTTTTTTATTTTGAATTGAGGTTTCACTCTCGCCTACACTGGAGTGCAGTGACAATCACGGCTCACTGCAGCCTTGACCTCCTGGGCTCAGGTGATCCTCCCACCTCAGCCTCCCAAGTAGCAGTTGGAACTGTAGGTGTGTGCCACCACATCTGGCTGACCTTTTAAATTTTTTGTAGAGATATGTCATTATGTTACCCAATCAGACTCAAACTCCTGAACTCATGCAGTCTTCCCACCTCAACCTCCCAAAGGGCTGGGATTACAGGTGTGAGCCACCATGCCTGGCTAGACTTTAAAACAAGAATAATTTACAAATCACTGTTGATAATAGTACAGCATTCTGTAGAATAGATGAATTAGTCAGGCTGTATTAAGAGTATTAACGTTCAGTTCTGTAGACCTCATTTGTAATAAAACAAAGCCAGAGAGCTCCTAGTAAAAGACAGTCAGGATTGTGAGGGAACTGAGGGTGTTTAACCTAGTCACACGAATGTTACCATATATAGAAAAGCAAAATTGGAACCAATGAATCGAAGTTCCAAGGATATATGTAGCAGCTCAATCCACTGGTGAACATAATTAAAGCTGTCCAATACTGAAAAAACTTGTTACATAGAGTGGTTAGCACCCCATTAAAGGGAGTATTCCCAAAGGTCCGAGTTCTTGCCTTTAAGGAGTTTGCAACACAGCAGACATGTAACAGCCACTTAACATAGAATTTTACTATATACTAAACATTCTAAGCACTTTACGTATATTATCCCAGTTGATCTACACAACAATCCTATAAGTTATTATCTTTTATTCCCATTTTACTGAGTGAAATTCAGAATTATAAAAGCTTAAGTTCCTTACTCAAAGTCAAGTGGCAGGTCTAGAATTTGAACCCAAGGGAACCTGGCTGCCAAGTCCATGTTCTTTTTGTTTGTTTGTTTTTTGAATTGGAGTCTCACTCTGTCACCCAGACTGGAGTGCAGTGGCCGCTACCACCCACCGCAGCCTTGACCTGCTGGGCTCTGGCGATCCTTCCGCCTCACCCTTCCAAGTA